TGGCTTATCCTCACTAAACTGACCAATATCTTTCGTCTTTTCAAATGCACCAATACTATCATAGTCATTGCACAAGATACTTGAGTTGATGGGCGTCCTTCTCATTGTGGATGACAACACCAATGACAACTGATTGATACCAGCTGATGAACTTAACGGTGGATCAGAAGCTGTTCTTGTCCGGCGTTTAGAAGTTTGTCTAACTGCAAGACTACCACCACTGCTGTCCTTTACTATTATTTCGGGTTTAGCACTATCATCTGATGATAGGTGGGCTACACGCTGATCAATTACACTGACGGTTTTACAAATATCCATACCTTCTGCAACTGCATCTGCGTTCAATTCTACTTCACGTTGTAGTTGTACAGAACCTTTATTCAACTTAGCAGTAGTAGACATTCCCCTCATTTCATCATGATCAACCAAGGACAAATCTGCACTATCATGATCATTATCACAAATATTCAATTTACCATCATCTATCTGGTCGACTTCATCATTTTCAAACTCTTTAAAAACAGCAGTAGATGATTTGGGTTCTTCCTCACAAATCCCTAAAGGTTTCATACCTTCACTCTGACTAGTAATACCTTGTAAACTTGTGGAGTCAGAACTGCACTCTGAAGCAGTAACTCTATTCTGTGACACTCTATTCAACAATGGCTTAGCAGTTGCAACTACAGACTTCTTCACCGCACAGTTATCGTCACACAATTCGGAGTCAGGCCTGGAGTTTACACTTAGCTTATCACTGAACTTGCTCACTGGTTCACAGTTCACCTTTGTATGCACCTCTTGCAAACGTGTAAAACACAACCGTGTTTGTCTTGAATCTTGCAACTTATCTGTTGACGATGTACTACGAAACCTGTTACACTCACTAAGTCTATATGCATTACTAGACATCATGGAGCCTTCTCGATATCCACCTCTCTGAGGCCTATTCGTCATCAATGATTGCGTTTTTCCCTCAGACTGATCTATTCTAGGGGTGAGATTCAATATACTGGCAAACTTGCTCATCGATTGATTGACACTATCTTTTACTAGTTTCAGAATATCATCAAATTTTGGCTCGATACCCTCATCCTCCATACGAGAGCTTATTTTCACCAACTTCCTTTGCAGCCGAGTAGGTAGGCGTCTTGCTATTACTTCTAGTATAAAACTCGAGTTGAGGTCACTCATTCGATTCATCGAAATCATTCCATTCTTGTAGATTAGCAAATTATCCAAAACTCAGTGAGTGCCTGGGAGTCATCCTGTAATTTACCACCATTACCCTTAACAGCCTCGAATAATTTCCCTACAATCATCGAAGGTCTTCCAAACCTTTGACGTAGTATGCCCATAGCCTCGTAGTAGCCCTCTTTTGGTTTCATAAACTTACAGCACTGTATAGCTCTTGAAGCATCTCCAGGACAACACCTCATCAAATACATTAACTTCAATTCATCACTTAATAGAAAACTACTCAGCATGATCTCAAACTCCTTTACAAATTGTAAATAATCAGCCGGGTTTCCGTCGAAACATCGTGGTTCAAATTTAGGGAGTTTGATGTTCCTATTATCCCTGAACGGCGAAACAGTAACATCAACCATGTCGTGCTTAACATCAGACAGATCGTTACAATAACCAGACAAGTCAACATGACTTACTTTCATGTTTGCATCCAAGACGCTCTGTCCCTTCTTTGACCCAGGCATTGTTGAACTTGACCCAATTCCAAAAACGTTCCAGATATTGCTTGTTCAAAGAGGAATTGACCGGCACCAGGAAAGATGAACGATGACTATCCAAAATCGTGCCAACTGTCCAAAACCGTTTGAAAACTGACGTTGTACCGTCAGAAACTGTCAGCCACGTCTAGTAAACCGTTAATGCCCAGCTCTTGCTGCACTCGGGCTCACGCTGTTCCTTGAAGTTTCCCAGAAACGCTTAGTACGAACGGACGGAAAAACCAAAACACCAATTGGCGACTCGAGGATTCTTTATTGTAACACCAACATGTAAACACTGTTACAACTAAGGTCTGTGAACAAATATTACAATAATAAATCACAATATTACTTCTGACGGTTTTCTCCTGACTTCTTTCTGAACAGCGACCGATGAGACGATGACTGTCGTATTGATGCCTCCGCGAAAATTGGGGAAGTTGGTTTTGAGCAAACAACCATGAATTGATCGTTCAATCTTCAACTACATTGACAACACCTGTTTGGTAATTACGGACATTTGTTTCCGATTTTCTTGCCAACAATGTGTTAGCTATCTTCTTTGATATATGCGTTTTTCTGTCTGTAGACTCTTCACTTTGCCAGCAAGCACTTGATCTAATATCATGCATGCTCCCAGGTTTTTCCAGCAGTTAAAACTGTGAAAACCCTGCTCGAAAAGGCAAGTCGAGATAGTTTTTGCTAAAGTTATAATCTATATGAGTATTCATTAATTTGTTGCCAGAACAGGAATGAAGTCTTGGTAACTGGTTAGGGTAGTTATCAGACCTTGATGTTTTTTTGAAAATATCAGCGCAAATACATAAGATATATGAATGGGCAATGTGGACTTATTCTGCTTTCTGAATGTAGTCAGTGGCCGATGTTTGGGGGATTTTCTGTAACATTCAGTTGATAGAACATTCGTAGAGTGTTGGCTAACAATTGGCTTGCTTATTAAGCCACCCAACAACTAGCAGTCTTTTGCCATATATGTAGTCTGTTTTCCCCATTATAAAATTAAAACTTACTTATGGGAATAACCGGGTCTAGCGCACATGCTCTGCTTGAGGGGCACAGATAAGAGACAACTTTGCACAGTAGTTGTAATCAAGAAAGCGACAATTCTAGAACTCAGACAAAAAGCATCAGCATTTGTAAAACTCGGCGTGATAATAGATTTAGCTGAACAATCCGACATATTTGCATATCAGTTGTGACGGAACGGTTACTCTTTGGATACTTTAAAAGTCTCATGATGTAAACAGGCTAAGGAGTTGAAATATGCTTGGTAGGTCGTGTGGCTAACGCTGAACGAACTTCGGTTGGATATGGCTTTGATATGCGGAACAAGTTTTTGTTTAACGGATTTCATATGCTTAGTTATATTAATTATATGGATTTGACAATCTGTATGGGCTGCATTCTGTATTACGGGTCTTAAGAAACGTATTTTAGTGCCAATTTGTTCAGCTTAATTCATCTTTCTACGACATCTCTTCAACGTGTTGTACATACATTTTAAAAACAGTGACTGGATGGTTTAACCGGCAGAGTATTCAGTGTTCAATCAACTGTGAGCCAATCAAAATCCCAGTTGTAGCAACAGCTTCTGGTGACAGACTGGGAGAGCAATAACGTATCCATAGGGTACTAAAATCACAGTAAACCAGAATAGCTATTTCCTCATTGAATCTGACTGTGAGAATTCAGACTTCAATTCTGTCGAAAATTACTTCGCACGAGATTTCTTGTGAAATCGTTAAGTCTTGAAATCAAGGGAGGCTTACTTAACGGGTTTCAGGAATCCCTCGTAGGTCGCGGACAAAGAGATATGATCAAATGGAACTTTCATCTCGGACTACAGCAAGTAGTACGGCGTCACAAGCCAACTCCCTCGAGCTTCCATTGTTTATCATTGAGTTACCTGTGCTCATCAAACACCCTGTGATGCATTAAGTGGAATCTCCGGAGAGAAATGCTCAAACATGCTAACCTGACACACACGCGTCAGCCCATACGAACTAGAGGGAATAACACCCATATCAGTTCAAACTCATGTGGATCTACGTGTCATTGTAATTCAAGGCCTAAAAACTACAGGAAACTGTTGCGTGGTGGTGGCCCACAGTTTCAAATCCACATTTCAGTATTTGCTAGAATCACAAGGGATATATTCACTTCTTTGCATACATCCCTGAAGAGGTCAAGACTGGAAAGTTGAACCTTGTCAGCTAGTCCTTGTCTAAGGAAGGCTTCGGGGGAGGGCAACACTTATGCTTCTTGGCGTAATTAGTCTTCCAAAGACGAAAGGCTGAACAGCTGAATCTCTTTTCCCTTTCAAATAAAAGGTGAAAAGGAGATAAATAAATAAATAGATTTATTCTCATACTACAGTACATGAGGGACGCCAGTTTACAGGCATCATCAGATTGTCACAGAAATAGAACCATATTATTCCGTCACAATTTACAGGCGGTAGCAAGATATGTTTTATATATGCGCTGATAAATGTTAATCCCAATAGTATAAAACAGCCTTTTCACTTACGTACAATAATTTCTGTACACAGTTGGAAAAATCCGCTAGATTGTCAGTGAGTGCAACACATCAGGCAATACAGAAGTATTGTCTTCGCATTAACAAAAAACCAGGTCTTTGGTGGATGGGTTATAAGTGCCAGGGAAAAAAATAAAGCTTGAAGTCAATTTTCATACATAACTTTGTTGTGTGCAGGATCCTTGAATTATAGTTCATTGATGTGTTATTTTGAAATCAGTGATGTGTTTTTCTCATTTGATCTGCAATGTCATTGTTGGGAGTAAATTAAATAGGCTTTAGACGCATTAATTAATGGATCTCTACCGCTTGTGGGTATTTTCTTCAAGTGAGGAAGGTTTATGAATTTCAGCTGTTATCATATTTAAAATTTTGAATAATATCTACGGACATGATACGTTTTGCCACTGCCTTCTCACCAGTTTGGAGAACCTGAGATATAGTAGGAGAATTCAGAAGTCAAGGAGGTCATATTTCTCTGTGGAGTACTGGTTCCCACACTGAGTCATAAATTCCTGGGTCCCACTCACAAAATAAGTGGTGTCAACACTCTCAATAGGCTTATTCAGGAAGGTTCTGAACAGAAAGAAATCAATTATAAAAGAATAAATATTTTTTCAAGCTTTCTATACTCAATCAATCAATCTGAATCTTTGAATGTATCACCACGGTATGTTTAGTAGAGTACATTGAAACCAAGATTTTGGCGGGTCAACGATGACGGAAGTTATGCCCATATCTTTGGTCAATTTTAATGCTGATAATGGATATTTAGAGGGTCTTGCGCGTGGGATAAAAGGTGGTCTTCTTAAGCAGGCAGATTACAATGTGTTGGTTCAGTGTGAAACACTAGATGGTTGGTTAGAGTTGTTAGTTTTAATGTAAATGTAACAGATCTGAAGCTTCACTTACATGACACAGACTACGGGGAATTTTTAGCCAATGAACCTGGACCTTTAACTGTTGGAATCATTGAGGAAAAAATTCGGGAGAAATTTGTGGCTGAATTTCGCCATATACGGAACCAAGCTGTGTACCCCTTATCCCTATTTTTGGACTACATCACCTACAGTTATATGATTGATAACATTGTGCTACTAATAACAGGAACATTGCATGGAAGGCCAATATCCGAGTTGATGGCTAAGTGTCATCCATTGGGCACATTTCTCGAGATGGAAACTTTAAACATAGCGACGAATCCAGCCGAACTGTACAATGCAGTGCTTGTAGACACACCACTAGGTAGGAAGTCTTGTGTTACCATTATATGTACAGCTCCTTTTTTCAGCGATTGCATATCGGAACAGGACCTTGATGAGTTAAATATTGAGATAATACGTAACACCCTATACAGAGTAAGTTGAAATCTTGTCTAATCTTTTCTCAGGCATATATTGAAGACTTCTACAACTTTTGTAAATCTTTGGGTGGCATTACAGCGGAGGTGATGTGCGAATTATTAGCTTTCGAGGCTGACAGAAGAGCATTTATTATTACCATCAACTCTTTCGGGACAGAGCTGTCAAATGAGGATCGGTCTAAACTGTATCCTCGTTGTGGCAAGCTTAACCCAGAGGGACTCGTTCAACTTGCTAAGGTGAACGATTACGAACAAGTTAAAGCAGTTGCACGGTATTATTCGGTAAGTACCCCTCTCTGCAATGGTTTTGCGATTCTGTATGTTCGAATTGGTTCCCTCACTTTAGATATATCTTTGAGAAAACTAAGGAATTATTCTGAAGGCTTACAGAGTTTGGAGTGAAATAAAATCAGCTGTAATGCTGCATTGAAATAATACTCTTAGGTATTTCTTTGGTGCACCCTCATTTACTAAATGTTTACTATGATTCTTAGTGTCATTCTTTCGTACTCCAGGTCAGTCTTTATTGTCTTCACATAGCTGGGATTACTGCACACGACCACTACCAAAAGGCCTAGTAAGGGAAAGTCTGTACATTCTTTAACTTAATTTCAGGACGAGTAAGGTAGACTGACCAGATCTTGTGAATCGTTCTTAAATTACAATGACTGTCGTACACTTCGAAGTCCTTTCTCATCTTATTACAAACCTGATTTCTTTGAATTTGACCAAAATGTGTTCATGCAAACATCTAATTAACAGCCAAGCATCGCCATAGTACCTCTCGGTCGACGGAACGGAATACCATCTTTAGGTTAAGAAATATAACGATTGTTGGACGCCGGTAGGTATGCATATGTTCCAGAATCTGTCCAAGGGTGAAGCTATGATCAATACACACTCTTCCTGGTCTAAAGCCTGCCTGGTTCTCTCGTGTTTGTTTCTCCCATGGACCGCTTTGTCTAATTTCAAGTAGTGTAGTTGTATGTGGATAGTCAATGGAGGAGCTTCGCGAAAGTTTAGCAACTGAGTTGTGACGCATTTCTAATAGTAACCTTAGTTTGAAACCAGCAAACGTACACTTCCCGCAGAACTCCGTCGCATTGCTGAGGCATGCAGCTTCACCGAAAACAGTTATTCCTATATGCATCGGGGAAGATTGACAACAAAGGTTCGTAGCTTTATAATTTAACTTGTCACTATCGTCCTTCAGGAATTTCGGCAGCCGAGTAGCTGTTTTTCACCCTTTCATTGAGAATTTATCTGTACCCTATGCATGTTAGAAGGCTTTTAAATAAGTCGAAGATTTATTTGAACCCTCCTTAGCTTTGTGGTTTTTTGTGCTCGCTCTCTTAAAGAGATCTTTATATGGTGTATGTGTTAAACGATCTCTAAAAAGAACATCTTAACTTCCCCTTATGTATTGGTATAGATGTTTTGTCAATGCCTATTCAACTTCCACTATGTCAGCAACCGCGAAGTAACAAACGCCCACACACTTCCAAAAGCACACAAAGTCTTTCTGAGCATCACCCTCCTTAACCCACATCACCTGCATCATCTTATTTACCTACTACAATCAGTACTATTCTTCACGCTAGTGAGTAATCTTCGCTTCACTCTGTAACCACAAAGAGCGAGGAGAGCCTTGGAAACACTCCCGACAGCCTCTAAGGCCACATAGCCAACTTCATATAGGAGCATTTAGCCTTAGGGACCTCTGCCAAATCGGACAACATGCATCACTAACAACAATACTGGCATCTCTAGCCATGGATGTATGTTGTGTTCCTGAGACACGCATACAATACCCGAGTATAGTCATTCGTATGTTTGGCATGCGATTCGCCCCTGCAAAATGTAAGATGCTGCTACAGGACTGGACCACGCCAACCCCTAACTTAGTGATAGGGAGTGAAGTGATAGAACATGTTGACCACTTCACCTACTTGGGAAGTTGTATTAGCACCAACGGACTGATTGGCGATGAAATCTCAGCACGGATCCGAAAAGCTCGAGCTGCTTTCGCTGGCTTACAACATCTCTGGCGTAGGCGTGACATCCGTTTATCAACCAAGGGACGTGTGTACTGCTCAGCAGTTCGCTCCGTCCTTCTCTATGGCTCTGAAACATGGCCAATACGCGTTGAAGACATGAAAAGGTTGACTGCTTTCGATCATAGATGTCTGCGATCCCTGTCTCACGTTAGGTGGTTTCACAAGATAAGTAATGTTGACGTTAGGCGTAGAGTGTTGGGCAAAGAGGGAAAATCAATCGACGAGGCTATAAAGTTACATAGACTAAGATGGCTAGGTCACGTGCTGCGCATGCCTAACCACCACCTCCCCCGACGGGCATTGCTAGCTGACATAGGTTCAGGTTGGAAAAGAGCCAGTGGTGGCCAAACAAAAACATGGCATCAATCCATGAAATCCTTGACAGTTAAACTGAGTCAGGTAGGGAGATGCAGACTCCCGGGTTGGGGTCCTCGGGACTCTAGGAATCAATGGCTGGAGACAATAGGTGACATGGCTCAAAATCGTTGTCAATGGCTAGCGCAGATGTATTCAGTCTCTGTAATCTTTCATATTCCTTCCTACCATTACCCATTCTGTTTCACTCTCATACTTGTCAAACTCTATTGATTCTCTCCACTCATCTTCTTGTGTACCTCTGTGTGCTATTTGGAACGTGGCAACTCGAACTGCTTCACTTCGGTGCCAAGTTCTATGTTGAATCCAGACAGACAGACAGTATAGTCATTCACTTAACCTCACCCTGCCAACAAGGTGAATCTGCAAAATTCACTTTAAGGGTGTCAGGAGACCCCTCAGCTAGTTCACGAGGACTCGCAGGTGTAGAGATACCATTGAGGGCAGAAAAAATCACTTCTTGACTGGATCCCAGTAGATAGTCGTATGTGTGCGGTCTGTCTGAACGGGTCCGTTAAAAGAAGGAAAGACAGCTTTACCCGTTGTTGTCATTTCGTAGTCTTCGCTTACGCCCCAACCGGCTGCATTTCGGATGAACTAAGGGATGATTAGCTGAGACTGTCTAGTTTCCTGCTTGGAAGCAAAACGTTCAGATATAGTTGTTTTAGCAGTCGACTTCAATGCCCAAGTTGGGAAGTTGTGCCAGAGTGCAGTTCTGTTCAAATAATCATCTGTTCCTAGTCAGCACTAACCTTATGCATATACAGATTGTGTAACCTGGCGACCTCCATCACCAAACCAACATCGGACTCAGATGGATCACATAGCGACAAGTTAACGAGGGTCATTAGGCGACTGCCGCTCCTTTTGGAACACGTGCGTAGACTTTGATCACGCTCTGGTTCGCGCACGTTTATGCTTACGATTAAACGGACATATAATTGTTGGCAGAGAAGCAGTCACGTCATCAATTAGATCGAGACTCTGAGTCCGTATTTAGGGAAGATGCAGCGAAACGAATACCTGAGGTCGACAGCAGGACTCCTCCTGAGGTAGCCTAGCACAACATACAGTTAACTGTAGACACAGCAGTAAAAGCTGTTAATAATCTGAAACCTAACGACCAGATTACACTGTCTCTAGCGTAGACGTGATATCCGGCTATCGGCCAAAGGACGTGTTCACTGCTCAGCTGTCCATTCCGTCCTCGTTTATGGCTGTGTGACCTGGCTATTGAAAGTGGAAAACATGAAAAGGCTAGCTGTATTTGATCATAGTTGCCTGTGTTCTATTTCTCGTGTGAAGTGGTGTAATAGGTTGAGCAATATTGAGAATAGGTGCCGAGAAATAAATCGACAAGGCTGTGAAGTTTCATCGATTGGGATGGTTAGGACATTTGTTACGTATGCCTAGCCATCGCCTTCCTCGACGGGCAATGTTAGCTCACACAGGATCAGGTTGGAAAAGAGCCATTGGTTGTCAAACCAAAATATGGCTTCATCAGTCAAAGAAATCCACAACAGTTAGTTTAAGCTACGTAGGAAGTTATAGACTTCCTGGTTGGGATCCTCTGGACGATAGAAACCAAGAACTGGAGACAATTGGTGATATTGCTCAAAACGGTTCTCACTGGCGCAGATGCATTCACTCTGTAAATTATAATTTCCAATGAAACTATACTGTTCTTCGATATTACTATTCTTTTTGCCTCATATCTCTGTTTACTGTCTCTGTTTTGCATTTCTTTTTAATCCCTTCTTTGTATTCTAGGTGATGTGTGGCGACTCGAACTGCTACACATCGGTGCAAAGTTCTATGCTGAAATCAGTCAGTCAGTTAATGCCTATATTTTATGGCACTAAATCTTACATTTGACATCAGCTAGTTGAATTCCAGATTTCCTTATCTGGTAAATACGTTCTCATTGAATTTTCTTTTCTTTTTGTTTCTGTACATCAGAATTACGCACCATTGTTTGAAGAAACTGGTGAAGGTTTTGGAGACAAAACATTGGAAGATAAGTTCTTTGAATATGAGGTAGGGTCATCCGTTTATCGTTATGATCTTTTTTGATTTGGTTTTTATGTATCTCAGCTGAAGATAAAAATTGCAATGACCATGTGTAACAATTTAGACCTTCCGAAACATAAAAATGAAATAAGTTGTTTTGTTAATTCCCTTACCATTACATGCAGAACCTTGATGGCGTATGCCATTCTATCTCCTGTCTACTCTAAACATGTTATTGTCCGGTTTTTTCAGTAGATTTTCGCGTTTGACCATAAATCATCCAGTATAATATTTTAAATATTTTAGCCCCCAAGCGAATTCGGGTAAGAGATAAAAGCTTGACTGCACATCTGACGCACTTGAAGTTTAAGTAACGGGACTGTTCATAGGGTTTCTTTAGACATCAAAAAGTAGTTCGTTGCATTAAGGATTGAAACTTTGTTTAATTTATGGAAAATATTCCAAACAAAGCAATGGAAGTAGAAATACAACCAGTAAGTCTTATGAGATTATGCATTTTGTTGCATCCGTAACTTAGTTTTAGGCGTATTAAGTTTATTAAGTACTTCAGTGGTACAGTGGTAGGATGCCAGCCAACTACTCAGGTGGTTCGGGATTCGAACCCCGGCCGACGCATTCCTTTATCTCGCTAAGCCAATAATAAGACTGGTGAAGATGAGGAAAGGTTGGGTATGAGGCTAGCAACCTCATCCCGTAAAAACACTGCTACCGAAATTTCAAAACTAAGTTCCACTTGGAACGTACGAGAAAAGCTTAATTAATTAGAATTTAAGTTTATTTTAAAGCATTTCGATTACACATGTGCCATCTTAGTGGTTAAATCTTCATGAAATTTACTTATTTTATTCACGTAAACGAGATGAGTACCGTGAAACAATCATTATAGCTACCATACTTATGAAATAATAAGGATTCAGTGTATGCTTTTGATGTGGTTGCATGTCCTGTGAACTGAGTGATTTAGTCGCAAAGCTTTCATTGTCCTTCTAGACAAGCGCTAGCTTCAACATGAAATGAAGCTACTTGAATTTTGCATGGATGATATACTTGTATCTCCTGACAACCTTCATCGTAAGTGGTTGTTAGTTTACATCAATATTGGTCGTTTGTATCGAAATGGAACTTAACTCATTTTGTCATGTGGCGTGTTTTCAATTAGCTGATAAATTTGATCCGTAGTAATGTGTCCTACATTTCCGCGTTGGATTTTTATTCCTCATCTTGTAAATAGGGTTTACTAAACTTGAAATTTTAAACCTCCTCGAATTGCTTTTATTTCTGTTCCGTGTAAACTTAACGAATAACTACACATCGCGAGTCCAGTTCATGGTTTTTTTGTCATTCGAAGCAGGTCAAGTAATAAACGTATCCCTTCAGGTTGACCGAACTTTTGTGAACACTTCTCAAATGATGCCTAGAATGTCAATTCACTGTTGTATTTGATCAACTTGTCTGATGGTTATATTTCTGTGATTTATTCTGTTATAGGTGCAGCTAAATGTTGATGCTTTCTTACAACAATTCCACTATGGCATATTTTACGCCCTTCTTAAATTAAAAGAACAAGAAATGCGAAACATCGTTTGGATTGCCGAGTGTGTTTCACAACGTCATCGTACGAAGATTGACTCTTACATCAATATTATGTAGCTATCATTTTACTAGGATTTGATGTTATGTTTAAAAAATTTCCCACGCCTAAAACAGGCTCCAAGCATAATAACGTTTAACTTATCATTTCTATTATATCTGACTTTGAATTTACTTATATTTTAAACACTTGAAAATTATATTATTTTATCAATGATTACTGGAAAGTTTTACTCTTAATTTTGAAAGTGATAATTTTGTTTTTTGATCAAATTTTCAATTCTTTACTTCTATTCTTTTTTTTAACAATTGATTACTTGTTATTATTATTACTACAGAATGTCAGTAAATTCCAAGATGACAACTGTTGTTTTTGTTTCAACACAGCATACAAGTTGCTCATTGTTTGGCGGAATTCACGTCCTCTATTTTTAAATATCCGTCTTCATATAGTCCTTGAAAGTGTTCCATGAGATGCTTGATATCGAAGCCTAGTGGTGAAAAAGGTTTCGGAATTTGGACTAATTATGTCTACTGGCTAGATTACTAGTATTATGATAGTATACCCGATGAATTATTTATTTTCAACCCAAAGTCAGTTTTATTTTGCACTAAAGTAGTGTTTCTTCAAGGCGTGATTCTATTGTCAAGGTTTATTGGAAGAATAGTGTATATAAGGGATTGCTGCCTTCACACTAGAAGTTGTTTAATTCAAACGTCTAGGTGACACAATTGAAGCCCATCAGGCATTGTCTCTGAGTAATTAAAATGACTTGAAAAGACAAGTTTTCTGTTGAAGTAATCCTTTCATCCATGATCACTGATTCTTGTTATTTTGAGATAGTAAAAATCCGTGCAGGATGAATTACATCTTTTTATTGATATAATTGGGTCTTTGGTGTATCCTGACTGGGATTAAGTAACTTGACGTGAGACTGTGAATCATTATTCTAGCCCCCTAGATCGTGGTTTTGAATTTTTCTCATACTACTGATGTTTGGGCAGCCAGGTAAATATCACTTTCTTGCTCAGGCTCAGTTACCTGGCTGACAAGGCTGACCCACACTTATCGTGTTTTCGGGTGAAGAAGTGGCTCATTGGCCTAAGCTCTCAACCTTCAGTCAGTGAGTAACAGGTTCGACTCTTACTACATCTGCTTCAGCTGGGTAACACCATCAGCATTTAAACAATAAGTATGGTTCACAGCCCGAAGCGTGAAAGACCTGTTCAAAGCGACTGGGTTCAATGGAATCGTAAATGGTTGTTGGGTAATATGATGAATAAATTAACAAAGAGCTTCTCCGAAGCCTATGTTTCGTCACAATTACATTTAGTAACCCGAAATGTTTGCTCACTTCAAACATTGTTTTAAGGGTCGTTTCGTGTTTTACAGTGATTGAGATTGACATAACTAGAATATCCAGCAGCATAATTCCGTACTTTGTGGTATGAGAACATTCAAGACTCATCGTAGAGTCCGCAAGTTGAGTATAAGTTTTATAGTGTAACTTAAGTTACTATTCTTAAATGATTTATTTATCCGAAGTACTGTTCATTATTAAATGCATGAAACGCTCGTGGATTTTGTCTCGGTTTTGTTTAAATGCCTTACCACTCTGCTTTTGAAAATTAGAAAATACTCCAGTGTTGTCCTTGAGTATGTTTGGCATGCACTTCGTTCCTGTTCAATATTAGGTGGCTTTGAAGGATAAGTCTTTACTGACTGATAGTTTAAGAATAAGTTGGCTACAATGACCACTTCATTTGTTTACAAATTTTCATCAGTGTGGCATGTGCTACTGACAGAAGTTTGTGAGCAGCTTATTGGTGACGTCTTGTGAGGAATCTTAAGTATTGGATAGAGTGTTACAAAAGAAAGATCATTTTGAAACAATGCCGAAAATATGGAAGGAAGACAAGAAATGCAGAGAATGAGTAGCTTTTTAAAAAGGAAGTTTCAATGTTGGGTTTTTATATTCTGCCATAATTGAACATCATTTTGCAAAATAAAGAATACTACTATTGTTTTATTCAGCTATTGAGACAAAACTGATGAACAGTGTAGACGCAAATGTCTCTTTGGCATTTGCCAACTCGAAAACATTTTTGGCACAAGCAAAATCTCTGGTCACCAGCCATTAATCTTGTGCACTGTTCAGTGAATATGCGCATTCTACTTGACGGCTGTGGGACAAACGCGACCGTTAGTTCGGTTAGGGTCCTGAGTATTTCCTTTGTATTTAGAACAATAAACGGCTTCAGCACCTTTCGTTGTAGCATTCCTTTTACTGATTTTCGAGGCGAAAGTTGTGGAGGTTTTATGTTACAGCTAGTCTCTTACTAACGAGGAACTTTTTCATTGAATGAAGAAGATTGCTAGTCATTGTGTATTGCTTAATCAAACGCTTCACTCAAGTTAGTAGAGATATCATCAGGACAAATTTCTTCTAAAACTACTTTACATCCTGGACGAGATATGGTTGCTTTCTAAGTTGAACATAATCACTTCCTCGACTGTTCTACAAAGAATTATAACTATAGCACTGATAAAAAACGTAAAGACATATAGTTTTATAAAGTGTCTTTTTTTGTTGTGTTAGGACTGACTTTGTAACCTTCAGGTTATTAGGTGGTTTTTTTCGCTTGCAGGATGATCTGAAAATAGATGGTGATGCGCCAGCTAGTTGAAATGTCAGTTCGTTGTTCAAACTCTTATAACATTCTTATAGTTCCGTCGGTTTTCGTGGATATGGAGTGTCTCACCATGTGAATACAACACTATTTATATAGACAAAATCCATGTTTGGCGTCATAATCTCTGAGGGTGCTTTATGGAAGTCATGCAGGATGTATTTAGTACCATTGGGTCACAGAAAAGTAATAATTCGCAGCCGAGATGTACATCTTTCGAAAAGCCAAGGCTGATGACAAGACTTCAGCTACTTTTCCTTTGACCTTTTAAACAGTGGATACCACCAATTGTCAATGAAGAACTGTATTTTCGTTCCTTGGGGAAAATCTATTGGATGAATAATTTGGCTGTTTAAGGCAGCACCAAGATGATTCAACCAGAATTCGCAGGTGTATGGACTGATCATCTGAAGAGCCTACAACGTCTTTTCTATAGAAACAGAAGGGTTTTCATGAAGCTTGTAACATGAAATTGACTCATGCCGTGCTGAAATGTGCTGATTTTAAGTGAGATATTTTGTTATGATTTCGTCTTCATCTAAAACACCGAAATATAATGTATATCTGTAGAAATCATCTACCGTCTTATCTCACAGTATAATCAAGCCAATATTGTAACCATATTGTACCTATATAACCTAGAGAAAAGAAATACTGACTACACAATCTCCTAGAGTAATTATTATTTAGAATTACACATAAATAACAGTTGAGGACCAGTATGCAAAATATTCGCTGTTCTCTAAGAATTTAGCAGGCAAACATTATATTTCTATTACCATATAGTGTAAACGGATAATCACTAGAGAAGTGAAAGAGTGCGCTCCATTCAGATCGAGGAAAAATTCAATTAAACTAACGTCCAAAAAAAATGCTCAAAACTGGTAAAAGGCAAACACCAAAACGACCACAATTATAAATAAACTTTCTTATCAGATAAAGCATTTGTGCTGTTCAAGGCATCAAATATTGATGGCTCACATGCACGTTAGTAGGCACTCCTACATTTCCTTCTCGTAAGAAGTATTCACGACGTGTGTATTAGTACTTCGAGTGGCCTGTCTTGATTCTCACAGTACCTATCTATGTAGTAGTACAGTTTCAGCTTAAAAGCCTTCACCGACGCCATTAGTCATGAAAAAACCGTATGTGATAATCTGAATTCCACTGGTACTTTATTCACAGGCTGCTTTCGATGAACTCTCAGACATATCCCCGGAGGATTAAGAAGGTTGGAGAGATAGGCACTTCGTTCGCCATTTGATATACGAAATTTGAGAAAATAAGATCGCTTCTCTTCCTAGACTGTGGTAATGAAAAACGGATCAAACTTCCCGCCTTGTTTCACACGGGAGAGGTAGATTGCCCTAACCTAGTGTTACTAGTGGTGCATCAGAACTCTACACACCCTGCTCAAATAACCTTAAGCGACACACACTTTCACGTTCCCCAAGTTTCTATGAAATCGTTGTTGATCTGTTCAGCTATTTTTAAGCGTCCACATATTCTAAACTGGAGGTGTGAATCATTAAGGAATTAGACGTTCAGTCCGTGGGATGTGATTTCTCGCATCTGTCAACCTAAACAAGTGTACATATTAGTTACTATCACTGGTACCCAAACAATACGCTTCATTGATTGATTGATTGATTAGTCTGAAGAATGCACCATATGCTGAGCCGAATTCTACACATGAATAGGTCAACGAGGATGTTACCAGTGACTAACAATGCAGGAAATTCGTGCCACATTCGGCTAAATAAAAGACTATGAGAGAACTGGCGCGGAATCATTCTCCTGTCCAACCCAAGCAAAATACTAAGTCTCATCATCTTGGAGAGACTAAAGCATTCTCCGAATGCAAAACTCCGACAACAGTAGACGCGGAATCAAACTGCTTCTGTAATGTCCACTGAAATGCTCCCACCTGGTCAAAAGGCAAACACCAAAACGACCACAATTATAAATAAACTTTCTTATCAGATAAAGCATTTGTGCTGTTCAAGGCATCAAATATTGATGGCTCACATGCACGTTAGTAGGCACTCCTACATTTCCTTCTCGTAAGAAGTATTCACGACGTGTGTATTAGTACTTCGAGTGGCCTGTCTTGATTCTCACAGTACCTATCTATGTAGTAGTACAGTTTCAGCTTAAAAGCCTTCACCGACGCCATTAGTCATGAAAAAACCGTATGTGATAATCTGAATTCCACTGGTACTTTATTCACAGGCTGCTTTCGATGAACTCTCAGACATATCCCCGGAGGATTAAGAAGGTTGGAGAGATAGGCACTTCGTTCGCCATTTGATATACGAAATTTGAGAAAATAAGATCGCTTCTCTTCCTAGACTGTGGTAATGAAAAAC